AATCATACCACCCCTTATCAACTATTTCTCCCAAAAAACATCATGGTAAGGTCTTTATTTTCAAAACAGGATTATCATCTATTTTACATAATCATTCGAGTAATCATTATCTACTTGCAATTACTTATTTTAACTAGTTCTTTTGATCTTCATCTTCAAGAATGTCTCACCCTCTTCCGTTAATAGATATTACCTACCTTGGTTACTACCTTAAACAAGACCTTAAATTATAGGACTCTCAACTTTTTTATGAGCTCTTGCCTTTTTTAGAAGAGTTCTGTTATAGTTCTCCTAGGAATGCAATACCTGATAATTCTGTATTGGAAATTGAAAATTTTTGAAAAACAAAATTAGGTGTGCTAAACGTCATGTTGCATCCTCAGTTGATTTTAGAGTAGTTCTGATTACATTTCTTGGTCTTTACACGTTCTATAGTTCTTGATAAACAATAGTGTTCTAAACAAGGGGTCATCAGTAGAGTCCGGATTTCAAGGCATTATGCTTTTTGTTAATATTACAAGCAAATATAAGGCGACTCAAAATATTTACGAATTAGACAAAAACAATGTCGAAAATGCACTGTTTTCAATGCTTATTTTGCTTTTTTTCAAGTTTTATGCTTATTTCATGGGTTTGTGCTTATTCACAGCTTTTTTTTAGATTTTTTGTACTGCAAAAGTATATTATATCGTATACGCACACTCTTATATCAACGCGAAATAAAATAAACAAACCTCCTGTCTCGCGAGTCTCGCCCGCTATGTTTCTTTTTTCAAAAATCCATACTACGCGGGAAACCCCAGCCCAAAAACCAATAGATGGTACTAGTTACAGGTAGGAAGTACTGACTTAGGCCCATGGGCGCCCGGTGGGGGGGCAGGGGGGGGCATCTGCCCCCCCCCCTGTGACGTCACAGAAATTTCGTAGATTCCATCGCTTTGAACACCGTTTGCGGAAAAAATCGCATGTTTTATTCGGAGAAAAGCACTTTTTGTGGCTCGTCTAAAATTGTCGGCCTCACTACGTTCGGCCGTCAAACATTTACAGCTGTATGCAACATCCTCTTTTAACTTAAAAGCGCTTTTAAAAACTGGTACCTTTAAAAATTTGTGTGGTTCAGACTTCAGAATACACATTTTTAAAAGTGACCAGTTTTAAAAAGCGCTTTTAAGTTAAAAGAGGATGTTGCATACAGCTGTTAGTCTCGCCACAAAAAGTATCACTTTTACTCTTAATAAAACAATATACTAAGTATTTTTTTAATTTGGAATATTTCATTTACGTTGTGTTGTTTTGATTTGATTACAATTTTTTTCCCACGATGAAAAGTAATTGTTGAACCTATCAAAAGATACAGAGAATTAACTTTTTTTTCCGTCCGAAATAAAAGTATTTCCAAATTGTTTTATTTTTTAATGTTTATTATATTAGGCCCAAAAAAAAAATTCCGCCTGCGGTGCGCTTTCCACGATTCCCCCAAGAGCAGTTTATTTGACACCCACCCCTGTGACAAATTCTGCGGGCGCCAGTTGCTTAGGGCCTTGTGATAAACTGTCAGGTATGCAATCTGACGGATGAAAATACATGCAATCTGTAATCTCATCGGTCGACCAGTTATTCGCTGACCAATAGAATTATAGAACGGTAAATTTATCTTGCAGATAGTTACCAACAAGTTTATCTGAAGATGAATAAACCGGGCCTTAAAGTTACCAATGAACCCATATGTTGCAAAATTTAAATACGCGCCCATAACAAGTGGTGACGTAGAAATAAGTGTTTCCTACTATTCTACAAAAACATTTTAAGTGACAGAAGACTAAACTTTACTATGGAACATTTGAATCAGCATTTAGTTATTGCTTGTTACTACAAGAACTATTTTTTTTTGTTGTTCATCAGAGACTTTGATTTGTTTATTTCAATGTTTAGTTACCTATTCTATTTTTTATCATGTATTCTATAGAAAACAATAAATTTTTATTCCACCTTTTTTGCTTTCTTTGCCTTGTTTATGCATATTCCATGCTTTTTTTGTGAAAAATTACATGCTTTTTAAGCGCTTATTTTAACTTTTTTAATGCTTTTTAATCCGGACTCTCGTCATCAGGTACGATCGGATTTGTATACCGTTTTATATAATATTTCACTTTTTAACCAATCAGAATTACCAAGTAGCAACTACAAAGATTACTTTTTCTTGATTTTTTAAGAGGATCCCCTCCCTAGAGGCTTTTGGCAACTCTGTATTAACATATATGACCAGAAAATATACTACAATTTTTCAAAAACATCCATAGGCTGGGAAAAAACTGATTTGAGAATTTGAGCATTTCCAACCAAATGTGGTTTCAGTAGTTTGCCTAAAATATTTTCAACATCTCTAACGCATATCATCTTCAATGTGAATAAATGCCATTTTGGAATTATCCACCCTCTTCAAACAGTTTACTTCGATCGAAAAAGCTGTATACATATAGGTATATATGTGGATTTGGATTTTTTTAAAGGTTTTCCTGTTTCTAATGAATAATCTTTAAATTACAAAAATGAGTAGGTACCTACTTTTTTTATTAATGCATATATAATTTTTATAAATACATATATAATTTTCAAATAATTCTGCCTGTTTAAATTTTGTTTTCCTATGAAAAAGCAGGAAAACTAATATTTCTATTTAAGCACTATAAAACTTTTTCTTCAATGTGTTCTAATTAGTTACCGTACCGTATTTTTAATTTTTTTTATAGGTAAGTACTTATTTACACACCAAATAACTAGATAAGTAATTTGAATCTTCCTCAATACCCATTAGGTTTCAATAACAATAAATATTAACAGACCATTGAGAAGCTTAATTGTATTTCCTAAAAATCCAACTACCTATTGATAAAAAAAATAGGCCATTGGCCTAACGATCTTGAACCGCCTATACCTTGTCTTGTCTGCACCGTACACAAACCATTGAAGTGTACAGTTACACTTCAATGAAGAAATCAGGGTAATAATAATTTAACTCACTTTTTAAGTATGTTGAAATTTAAATGAGGCCTACATTTTTCCTTGTTAAAAAATGTGTAATTAAATAATAAAATAAAATGATGGGAAATGGTGTTTTTTGAATCTACTAAGTAGGTATTCTTCTTTGTAGTACCTACTAGTTTAGTTTTGATTGTGAAGAGTATGTCAATTGTATATACGAAAACAATCTGTTTCATTATACGCTTTGACCCTTATAAATCCTATATAATCACTAATGAGATGATAGATGATTTTAATTGAACCTTCACCTATTTTTAATCCTTTGGAAATCCCTAGTGAAGGCTTGGGTAAAACAGATTTGCAGGAGTTTCATTTATTTTTTCATGCATTTAACACTCCCAGTATAAAAAACTCGAGAAAAACCTCATAAATCCTATTAAAGGTCAAAGTGTGAGATATAGTAGTAAATGTGAATAAAATGTTCCTTATTGTTCAGCAAAAAAAGGTACCAAGAAAAAAACAATAGAGTTAGGAAATGTAAGAAAAAGTAGAAAATATTATGCAGCGAGAAACAAATAAATCAAGTAATATCTCAAATTAAAATTTGGGTTAATTTGGGTTAGTTAGTATTCCGGTAGTGAAGCAAAACCATGAAAAACGATAAACGATCAATTTTTAAAATGGAATTGTGAAAATTCTAACACCTAATTATTTGAAATTTTCACAGCATATTAATTTGGTTGAAAAATTGTCCTATTTGATTATTTTTTGATACTTTGAGAATAGAAACATGTAATGTTTTGAAATAAGGCGATTTTTAGGTAACGTTTAATTGTTTTTACATGGGTGCCTTCCCATTGAATTTAAAAAAAAATAATATGGATAAAAAGCACCTCGAAAAGCACACTAATACGAAGGCGTAGAAGGGACATTTATTAAATTTTTATTTGCTGGTAGTGATGCACAATTAATTCCGTGTTAACTAACTCGGAATTAATCCTCTCCTATTTAATTCCGTATTAACTAACTTGGAATCAATTTCCTCTTAGTTAATTTCGTGTTAAGTAACAGGGAATTAATCTGCTCTTATTTAATTTCGTGTTAGGTAACTGGGAATTAATCTCCTCTTATTTAATTCCGTCTTATTTAATTCCGAGTTAATTAACACAGAATTAAATAAGAGCAGATTAATTCCTAGTTACTTAACACGAAATTAACTAAGAGGAAATTGAATCCGAGTTAGTTAATACGGAATTAAATAGGAGGGGATTAATTCCGAGTTAGTTAACACGGAATTAAATAGGAGGGGAATAATTCCGAGTTAGTTAACACAGAATTAATTATGCATCTCTACCAGCAAATAAAAATTTAATAAATGTCCCTTCTACGCCTTCGTACACTAATATTCAGTAATTTATAAAACATTTAATTTTCAAATAATTCGGATAAGTAGATCGGTTGCAATTCCTGTTGAAAAATTCTCCAAATTATTGCTTAATTTAACGGGCAGAATCCCTTACGCAGTTTATTAAAATTACATTCTTTATTAGAGCATTGACTTTTGAAACTTAACTCTCTCACAAACATTTATCAGATACTAGTTTTTCCTTTATTCTATTTTTAAATATGAGTTCTTGGAATACACAGGCCACATTGTTATGAATAGTTTCAATGTTTGGTTTCAACATTTTGTAGACTAGAAGCGGTTCATTATATTTTGAATACATTATGTTCACATTTTTTTTTTATAAATAGATACTTGAAACATGATACACCTGAATCCTTGAAAACAAAACCTTCTCAAAGAAGACAATGGACCACAAACCATAACATGCAGAATAGAAAGTAAAATCTATTGTGTGATTCCAATTGATATTTTAAAGTTCTCACCCATGTCCTTTTGATTTAGCTTGTAGTATTTTTTATTAAGTAACGAGAAAAGTTGTTTGACCCGATTGAAATGCAGTATGTAAAGTGTGTTAGTGTAACAAAAATTATAATATGATTTTTTTTTTCAGAAAAAAGCAAAAGCCCGTGATTTATATGAACAAGTTTTCTATTCTTTGGATCTCATCGAAAAAGATTATTTTGGATTGCAATTTACAGACGCTAACCACGTTAAGCATTGGTTAGATCCCACGAAAACGATTAAAAAACAAATTAAAAGTAAGCGCGGCTTAATCATAAGAAGTAAAAATTTAATCACTTTACAATATTTTTTTTCTTTCAGTTGGTCCTCCATATACATTAAGACTGAAAGTGAAATTTTACTCATCCGAGCCTAATAATTTAAGAGAAGAGTTGACACGGTATCAATTCTTTTTGCAGCTGAAACAAGATATTTTAGAGGGAAGACTTGATTGCCCGCAAGAAACTTCAGTAAAGTTAGCTGCATATGCTTTACAATGTAAGTATGTAATTAATTTGTTCAGATTATGTGCACAGTTTCTCATTTGACAGAATATTTTTCTACTGCATTGTCAATAATTTTTTGTAGAAACGAATATTTATGGAGAAAATTGAAAAACATATTAGCAAATGCATCAAATAGCTGTTTGACTTAGAACAAAATCCAGCAAGGAAAACCCTGTTTGAAAAAAGAAAAAAATATAAGTATACCGTATACCCCAACCAAAAGACATGGTGCGATGCTTTTTTTACAGCAATGTTTATTTTTTTGGAAAATTCTAATTTTTCACTCATTTTCTCACTTACTACTAAGGAATAGCGTCACATTGATAATGATGATAAATAAATCTCTTATGTTATACTTAAATTTTCTGTTGATATTTTCTCTGAATGCGACTCAAGCCCATGCTTGAGGCATTGAATGTTCTTAAAGATTCTTGGGTACAGCTTTAGCCTCGGCTTTGGCCAGCTTTTCTGGGAATTTTTTATTTTGTCTGCTGTCCTTAAATAAGGGTTTGAAAGTGAAAAGCTGTAGATATCAGCTAGAGCTTTGTAAGTTAGGATTTCCTGATGAGGGCCGCAATTAGAACCCTCGGCGCCCAGGGCCAATCCAAATTTTGGCGCCTACTACTAATTCTACCACTGTATAAAGATACAGAATTAAAGTCAGTTTTAAATTAGTAATCCGTATGCAACTTTGTGAAGCAATATAGTGCTATACATCAAAATATTCCGATAAATATGTAGATTATGAATATCGTTGGGGCGTGACCTGTAGGGGTGGCAGAAGGAAAGACCCCTAAACCACCCCTACTTAGAAAAAATATTTTATCTAAAGCAAGATAGTAGAAAATGCTTCCAAAATGTTTTTTTATTTTCATAGCTATATATTGTTGGGAAGAAAAACATATTATGATTTTATGTGTTCCATCTAAATTCAAATAGTTATTTATGTATCAAGGGTACTAAGTAGATGATTATGCCCCGAGGGCGACAGTCTTACAGAGCCGAGGGCCTCTGGCCCGAGGGTTCGTAAGTCGCCCGAGGGTATATGTATCTATTAGTACCCGTGGTGCATACAAACTTTTATGTCATACCAGTTGGTTGTGAATAATAAATACCTGGGAAAAAAGTGTCACTTCGCAAATTTTCATCAGTGTGCAAACATCATCATTTTTTGACAAAAATAATATATTTATAAGCGTAAAGTTATATTTTGTTAATAAAGAATAAGTTAATTGAAAACTGTTTTTTGCAACTTTATGCCCGCGCGGGCCATAATGTTTATTTTATGCCCGCACGGGCATAAAGGTATAAAAACACAATAATGTATTGGTATGACATAAAAATATTAAATAACAGCCTATTTTGGTATTTATATATACAGGGTGTTTAAGATACGGATGTCTATCATGGGGATATCGTAAACGGTAGCAGATACGGCAATGGTTTAAAAGGAAAAAAGTTGCGCAATTTAATGCTCAATAAAGTGGTACTTTGACATATGGAAAATTCTAAACATTTTCCGAGATATCCGAAAAAAACCGAAATTTTGCAAAATTGAATTTATTTTTTCCGAACTTATTTGAGGAGATATTTCAAAATAAACGTGTCACTTAATCGCTATTACTTTTCCTACTCTATTGTGTTAGGGATAGAATTTTGGTAGGTAATTACTAAAAAGTAAAACATCATCCCAAAGACGAAACATCAAATCTTAAAATTGATAATGTCATCTTGTACAGGGTGTCCAAGATTCGATGGTTTTGAGGGGTTTCGGGTAATTCTAGAGGAGTTGGAAAATATCTGACCCCCACTTGCGAGCCTCGATTTTCAAGAGAAATTGACTGGTGAAAATCGCATCTCAATATGTCCAGTCGTTTTCATAATACGAGGGGTTTTTGAAAAGTTTGGAGTTTGGCAGAGGATTTATAACTTTTTTATTTATGAAGATTTTGTCAACTTTTCCCTTTGTAGCTTGAAAACGAATCGTCATCGGTCAATTTCTCCATCAAGGCTCGCAAGTGTGGGTCAGAAATTTTCCAACTCCTTTAGAAATACCCGAAACCTGCCAAAACCATCGAATCTTGGACACCCTGTAGAGTAGGAAAAGTGGTAACGATGAAGTGACATTTATTTTGAAATATCTCCTCGAATAAGCACAGGAAAAAATAATATCAATTTAGCAAAATTTCAGTTTTTTCCGAATATCTTGAAACATATCCGGAATTTTCGAAGCTTGCCTCTGCGAGAACAACCACTATCTCAATTCTGCTAGGCTTTTCACACTTTTCTTGGACGGTGAATATATGGAGCAAATAAACAACTCAATCTGCTTTATATCAGAATCACTTAATGTTTCACTTTTGCCCAAAGATGCCAACGCCTGAAGCATGGATGAGGTTGGTCCCAAAAACTTCTTCCAAAAACTAATTTTACCTTTTCCTTTGAAACTTCCTGTGAAATCAATCCAATTGCTGGGCATTTTTCTTTTTTTTTTTCTAAAGAATCTTTTTTTTTTAAATTCTTTTGCAACATTCACTTTTATGTCATTTTATCCAATGTAAACTGGTCTGCTGTTAAAGCAAGTATCAGTAAATCTTGCTCCTGTTTCGGATCCCATTTTTGTTTTTTTCACCAGAGTTTCAGCAAGAGTGTTATCAGCAATCTGCGATGGTAGATGACGAATACTTTAAGTCTTTAGAGTACACAAGCAACACTTACCACTACGTAAGGTTTTTTGATACTTAGTTTCTTAATAGCTTCCACTTTTAACTATTAGGCAATTCAATCCATCTGCCAAAAAGGAAAATTCAATGTGGCGTGGCGGCCAAGCAAGTTTGTTTTGGATATGTTTTTATGCGTATTTTAAATTATATTGCATACAGTTTTGCTTATAACTTTGATTTTCATTATTTAATAAAATATTTGTTGACTAGGTACCTAAACTATTAATTCCGTCAGAAACTAGATATTTATTTATGTTTTTTGGTCCATGTGTGGCCGCCACGCCATCTAGAATGTCACGTGGTTTGAATTGCCTAATTGTTGTGACATAATCTGAAACACAAAAAACCATGTGCAGTGCTGTACATACACATGGTGGAAGTGAAACTTCCGAGGAAACTTCTATCGCTTTGTATTGAGTGTATACGTCGCTTATGTTTCAGATATAGCACGAACGAAATGGGCCTGAACGTAACGCGTCTTCTTTTAATCTCTCTCCATTCTCGTCCAAATATCAGACCACCGCCTAAGAAGTTTCACTTTAAAAATAAAGCCGGGTACACACGGTTCGGCAGGCCTGTCAGTTTGAACTGAGTTCACCTGAAGGCTGATCGCGGGATAAACTGATGATCCTCCGAATGTTCAGGCGAATCTGAAATATTCTTCAGTCTCAATCATCATGGCCTCTACTGATGATGACGCGTTTTCAACTTTTTGGTTTAGTAGTCGATCTCGGTAAAAAAAAATCCAAAAAGGATCGTACAGTTTGGTCTAAAGATTGGTTGAAAAAAAGGCGCGTATTCTCTCCACTGATCTCAAAAATAAATGGATAAACAATCGTACGGCTTGATTGGCTAAACTTGTGCGAAAATTTGGGGTCAATATTCTACAAACAGTTGTGCAACGGAACAGCCTAACGCCTGCGCAATGTCTTGATATTTCGAACAACTGTTCTAAATTTTGCAATATTCTTCATTTTTATTGACAATATTTTGCGCACGCATAGAACATCTATCTACTGCGCACGCTCACAGTTGTCCCAGTTGTTTACATTATGACCTCATAAATTCAGGCCTATGATATATCATTTTCTGTTATTTTAACAGCAACGTTATGTTATCTGTCACTGTTTATTCTACACGTAAAAATAGAGACAGGTATAGATTTTGAGCTATAACACAACTGTTAAAATAACAGGAGAGGATACATCATAGGCCTGATTAGCAGCATTAGAAGCGTTCTTTGTTTATGCATTTATTTTTCGGATCGGTGATTCTCTCATGTAAATTTGCTGAATGAATTGAAGCTGGCTCCAAAGGATTGGCACAATTCCCTACGTATGTATGAAGATACATATCTGCAGCTTTTATCATTGGTAGCGCCTCTACTATAAAGAGAAAAGCACTCCCACGTCACGAAAGGCTGACTGGAACCAAGCTCACTACTCACTATTGAAACAGGACTTAACCTATCTGATCTGATATTTCTGATAACCCAACGGCCCGACAGGAGGACCGTGCCATACACACGTTCAGACTTGCCTTTGAGTACGTCAGGCCGGCCGTATGAACGAACATATTTTCGATTTTTCTCCGGCCACCTGAACAGTCTTTACTGACATAATAATCGACCGGAATATATACAGGGTGTCCCAAATTCGAGGGTGACCATTGACATATCGGAAACTATAAGAGATACGAGGTCGGTTAAATTATGGCAAAGTTGCGCAATTTCATAAGCAATAAAATGCAGTTTTGAAATATTCCGAAGATATTCGGAAAAAACCGAAATTTTGCAAAATAATTTTTATTTTTTCCTGAGTCTATTTGAAGTGCAATTTTAAAATAAATGTCACTTCATCATTGTCACTTCTTCCCCTTTACAGGATTTGTCTACCAAATTTCAGATTCGACGTTTCGTCTTTGGGCCACCATCATCAACCTCATTTTTTTAAATACGGACCTGGATTTTTTATTACGGATTTTACGAGCTTCTGATGTTCCAAAACCTATGACGTCCCTATCGCATTTATTCAAAAAAGTTTTTTTTTACTTTTTGGTAATTTCATACCAAAATTCTCCTTTCTGGCTCTCTCTAACACATTAAGTTCTTATGTAAAGTGCCAATAATATAAATTTTTCGTGCAATACGTCATTGGTTTTGGGACATCAGAAGCTCTTAAAATCCGAAATAAAAAATCCAGGTCCGTATTTAAAAAAATGAAGTTTCCGATAACTCAATAGTCACCCTCGAATTTGGAACACCCTGTACACGTTCAGCCGACCGGCCTCCAGTCGGACTGTTGAGTTCGAACTGACAGGCCTGCCGGATCGTGTATAGCCGGCTTAACACTTCTGCCTAAACAAAAATAGTAAATAAATAATACTCGGGGGTGTGTTTGGAAAAGGGCACAGCTCACAGACGCCAGGGACTTTAGTCTCGAAACAGGGGAGCAGCGTTATGAGAACGAAGGTTCTGTCTTCGTCGTCCGTATTCATATTTCCATAACAGTGACAATGACAGAACAATCGTTCTTATGAGAATGCTGTTCCTCCGTTTCGAGAATAAAGTCCCTGCGCGGCCATGATTTCATAATAATATCACATTACAATATTTGCATGTTGCTTGAGTATTGTTGTACCAGTTTATTCACTAGATGCCTAAGAAGCTATGTTATGAAATCATCCCCCGATTAGGGGGTGGTTTCGTAATACTTTTAAAGATCTTATCGGGAATAATACCACGAGAGCTTCAAAATTACCGATAATTTTTCACGATTGCGTGTTTTCTATAATTTCATGAGTCCGTAGGACGAGTGAAATTTGCAGAGAAAACACGCATGAGTGAAAAATTATCAATAGTAATATAACTAGTGCAATGGAAATTATTGATAATTTTTGGGAAATTTGCTTGAATGCATTTTTAGTTAAAAAAGAGCACGAGTGCACGTAGTGCACGAGTGCCTTTTTCAGTTAAAAACGCATGAGTGCAAATTTGTCGAAAATTATAAATATATTTTCATTGCACGAGTTGTTCCAACCTTAGACAGCTTCTATTTTATTATAAATGAGAAAATATTTGGTTTGATTTTTCTCATCAGTGGATAATAGGTTTTCCTATTTTGGGTTTTCCCACGAACTGAATTTTGGTCGGCCGATTAGACACTCGGTCACCATATTGCAACTAAAATTGCTGCTTGGTGTTGAAGTTTTGTCTTAGATGGCGCCACGATCAAATTTCGACCGTTGTTTTATTATAAATAATTCACAATATTACCAACTTTTTTTTTGCAGCCGAACTTGGTGATTATGACGAAACCCAACACACAGCAGCAACAGTATCAGAATTTCGGTTCGTACCCAACCAAACAGAAGAAATGGAAATTGAAATTTTGGAAGAATTTAAAAAATGCAAAGGATTGTCACCAGCTAACGCGGAACAAGCCTACCTGAACGATGTGAAATGGATGGAAATGTACGGCGTCGATATGCATACGGTATTGGGTAAAGACGATATGGAATATAAGCTGGGACTCACGCCAACTGGAATATTGGTATTTGAGGAACCAAGCACCAAAATTGGGTTGTTTTTTTGGCCTAAAATAATGAAGTTGAATTTTAAAAAGAAGAAATTGACTGTTGTTGTTGTTGAGGATGATGATGATGATAGGGCTCCGCCTGTACCTCAGGAACATACATTTGTGTTTAGGTTAGTGAGATAATAGCTGAAATGTTTATTTATTTTTTTGTTTAGATAATGTAGGATACATATTCGAAACAAATAGAGTAACTTACAGAATCAATGAAATTCATTGTCTATTTCAGGCTTCATAATGAAAAGGCTTGCAAGCATTTGTGGAAATGCGCTGTAGAGCATCACGGATTCTTTAGGCTCAGAGCTCCCGTAAAAGGACCATCGGCCAGGCAAAATTTCTTCAGAATGGGTTCGCGCTTTCGATATTCCGGCAGGACCGAGTATCAGAGCACGTATCAAAATAGGGCGCGCAGGACGGTGCAATTGGAAAGAAAACCGAGTCAGAGATATGGAAGAAGACAAAGCCATGTGCTTAGAGAGAGACAGAAACAACAGCATGTTGTTCAGCCAAATCGTGAAGGTAATATGTCGATACTTTTGTTGACGGTTAAAACAACTCACATAGATACAGACAAAATTTATAGAAAAACAAATACATTTTAATTCAGTGTATCTGCTTTATATCAGTGTATATTTCCTTTGAGTATGCTTGTTTGTTTCTGCTATGTGAATGAGAACTCTGGATATATATTATCTATTTCAGGAAGCCAAGGTTCCTCTTCAAAATCCCCAGATAGCTTCCAGCCCGCTTCCAGTAGATGTAGTGAAAGATCAAATAAATCTAGTGCCACTGACGAACCGATTTACTGCCAAGTTAAAGACGATTTAACTAAGAGTCTGACACCAACACCATCTACACCTACAAGTAAGTAACTCGAAATATTTAGCTTCAAACCTACTTAAAAATGATTTCTAGGACCTACATCTTTGGGTTTGAGCGGACAAAACAGTTTTGGAAAAAGTTCCATTGGGAGAAACTCATTTGGAAAATCCTCAATTGCTTGTGGTCCCGCTTACAGTCCTGCTTTATCCAGTAGTAGCAAAAATAGCTCTTCTAAACGAAAATCGGCTACTCCAACTAGTAATATAGCTGCGATTAGTCCTGTGTCATCAAATGCCGATAGCCAATTGGACTTTTTACTCAAAAGCCTGGCGAAAGAATCGCTATCGGGCGTGAGCAGGGACGAGTGTAGGAATAAGTTGGAAGGTAAGTTTTACGTTTTTGACATAAAAAAGGATTAAAATCATCACACAAAAGTGATTGACTTTAATAAGAAATACACAGAAAGATAAGAAAAAAATGCAAAACAAAAAAACAAGCCTAAATTAAATTATTTTGATTTTGAAAATGTTCTTTTATAGACACTGAGAATTCGAGTGGATCCAAGTCTTTGCCAGCTGAAATGCCTAATAATATATCGAAAAATATGGGTAGCGCCAAACCTTTACCGCCTGGACATATAAAATGCAACATTTTGAAAGGTAAAAATAACAGTCTTCAAATTTTCAAAATATTAATCAAATTTACATTATTTTCCTGTTTGTAGCTAAAATGATGGAAGAGGAACTTCAAAATTCGAAGCTTACAAATCAGATGTTTGTGCAGGCGCCTAAAGATGATGAGACTTCGTTGAACGCAGCGACTTTCATATCCGTTGTAAGTGGAATAGAAAAAATATTTATTGCAAATTACTGTACTTTAAGTAAAGTTGCCTGTGCAGCATTTTAAGTTGCTCTTCTTGAGAGCTTGTTGATTTCTAACTGTGTTATATTGATTTGGAGTTTTTTCACTCAAAATAAAGGAGTTAATTAGTGAAAAGTGAAGATTATCAACTAATACAAGCGACTTGCGATGTAAATGACATCTTTATTTTACATACTTTGTTTGTCACTGGGGGTTCTGAAAAATTCATTGAGAAAAAATTGTATGGAGCAGTGGCGTTGGAAGACCCTGAACTAAAGTATGACTGTGATGGTCCATTGGTCCCATCGGTTGTCGATATCATTGCATTAAATAGTAGTTATCTCTGATCAAATCATTTGACATTGTCAACCTTTCTAATTAATTTTTATTTCCAAAAATGACAGTTGAAATTTTTTGTGTTTGTAACTATTTTCTGATTGCTTTAATTGTTCTTGTATTCGTTGGTGGAATCTACATGCTTTTTTTCAAGCAAAATTGATATTATAAATATAATGTAATCCCTGCAAGTATTAATTAATTGTAATAATTTCTTATTTAATAGGGAGGTGATAAATTGACATTAACTGTGAGTGGTCCACCAAGCATCGAACCCGCAAAAGAAGTTCCTGTGAAACGTTGCACTACTCCTATAACAGTAACGTTTTTCGGACAAGCCATGAACGATGGGAAACTGGAAATTTGCCAGGTAGCTAATGAAACTACTGAAAAAACGGATCGAGAAAACAACCTCAATCCTTTTGCCAACTACTTGAAAGATGAGAATTTGAATCCGTTTAGCGGATCGAACAGTATAGTTTTTAATAAAAATAATCCGTTTATGGATGCTTCAGGAAGTGGAGAAGAAATGGAGCCTAAAAGTGATAAGGATAGCGAAAAAAGTGATGCTAATGGAAATCATAGTTCAGAGGTGAGTTTATATCAAAAATCCATTGTCACTCATATATTTGACGCAAATCCTATTTATTTACTTACTTAATCACATTTGCAAGCGTTTTTGCCTTTGTATAAAAAATAAATTAATACATTCTTACTTACATTTAAATTCAGCACTAATATGCATGCTAATGGTAGCCAAAACAGGTCCCTACCTACATAGACTTTCTTCATAAAGTTTTTTGCAATTTTTCGCATTTTTCAATCAAAATCCATCCAAGGTAGTCTCAAAATGCGCGTTTAATAAACCAACAATCTAAATAAGAAATAATATCCATTTTTATTGAATTGGCTTCTACTAGGTGAAAATTCATGATCTAATAAAAGATTTTCAAGTAAATGTAATATACCTACTTATATATTTCCACTAAGAAAAATATGAGAACGACCTAGCAATCTTCAGGCAATTTTTTTTATATGTGTATCAGACGAAATCTCAACTCGAACATATACGCAATTACTGAGGAAATAATTATTGACAATTTTATTACTGCAGAGGTGTTGCGAATCACTTTGAAAAAGTGTTAACTCAAGAACCTCCGGACACATGACGAAACTAACTGCTTATTCAAGAAACGGTGCGACCCTATCAACTATTGTTTTTTCCCCCGACATCGTCAAAGAGTCAATTCTCGCCCTCAAGCAAGATTCTAGTCCAGGTCCCGACAACATTCCAACCATATTTTTACAAAAATGTGCAAAATCTATCAGCCCGCCCCTTGCTCACGCAATGACCAACCTGATGAGTAGTGAGACAGTACTGGAACAATGGAAAGAAGCCTACATCATTCCAATTCGTAAAAAAGGCGACAAGCTTCATCCAAAAAATTATCGTCCCCTAAGTCTCACTTGTAATTCTTGCAAATCCATGGAAAAAGTTGTAACCATACAACTGACAAACTTTCTAATGGAAAACAACATCCTTCCGTCTTGACAGCATGGATTTTTGCCTAAAAGATCGACTGAAACCAACATATTAAGATGCTTCGATACATGGACAAAGATGAATGACGAGGGACAACCTATTGACGTCGTATGCCTGGACTTTGAGAAGGCTTTCGATAAGGTTCCAATCAATCGTATATTATACGAACTTCAGCTTATGGAATACGTAACAACATATTGGGTTGAATTCGAGACTTTCTAAACGATCGAACGTATCAGGTTAGAATTAATAGGGCTTATTCGACCCGACATAAGGTATATAGTGGAGTACCGCAAGGCTCTGTACTTGGTCCAATACTCTTTCCCATATACAAAGCAACCTGCCAATGAATATCAAAACCAATGTCAGTTCCTTTGCAGATGAAACCAAGCTATTTTGCAATCCTACCACAGCAGAGAAAACCTCGAATCTGACCTACTGACTATATCCGAGTGGTGTGAGAACTGGTTGATGACCCTTTTTTTTTGAGGAGGGTTTAGGAAATCTGCTAATTAGACCTTCCTCCACTTGTTGTCTGGCAGTGGAGGGTGTGTCGGGTTGGCACTCTTGGGTGTCTACCGACTAAAACCCTTTCCAGCCTCCTTCCCAGCATCACTCGGAACCGCTTTCACATTACTTCGAGTGATAAGGTGTCTCCTTTGTTGTCATCTATTTGTCTAATTATCTATTTATCCATTTATACATCTATCTATTTATCTATTTATCTGTTCATTTGTCGTGTTCTTCATCCTCGCTTTTCTTAACTAATATATTCCTGGCCAGCTGCTTGACCGCCATCCAGTTTTCCTCCCTTTTTATCATTTTTGCCAAAATGTTCTCTGGGGTGATTGTGCCCGTTTGCTCTTCGCATATTACTCGCTGCTCACGCCAGTGCCTGCAGTGGAAGAGGGCATGTTCCGCGTTGTCTGTCTCCCCACAGTAAATACACTCGTCGTCTGCTGTCTTGTTGATATCATATGTGGAATCTCGGTTATCATTATACCAATGAGTCTATGTCTGGCTTTTCTTGAAAAGCCCCTCTCTCACTATTTCTAAAGCCTTTTGGATCGCCGATATGGTGGATCTGCCCTTTCTGAAGCCATATTGTTGTTTACTTAGTGTCTCCGACAGCCGCAGGAGTTCTCTTCCACTTCCATCCTTGATAGAATTATGTGCTCCATAGTAGCTTGCCGATCGTATTCAGTAGGCAGAGTGGTCTGAACTTCCGGGGGTCATTCGGTGTCTTCATTCATTCTGTAGGGAAAACTCCTCGTTCCATCGTAGTGTTGAATATCTTGAGGAGTGTATCGGGGTAACTCTCTGCTAATATTTTTAGGATCTCGGCGGGGACGCCGTCCGGGCCTGGTGCTTTGTTTGGTCTTAGTTTACGGCTTGCGTTGATCAATTCCTCCTTCGAGATTTCCAGGAAGTCCGTTCCCCTTAAGACCCCCAACTCTCTCCCATGCGCTGGTTGGTCCCATCGGAAAAAGTTCTTTGGTGACTTAAAAGGATTTATCCATTGTTAGTGGGCTGTAGTTTATTGCTAGTCTCAGGCTTCGTGTTGCAATTTTGTAACCTTCTCCCCAGCAGTTTGTGTTGATTTCATCACACAGGTCTCTCCAGCATTTCCTTTTCGCGTTGTTAATGGCAATTTTTAGTTGTTTTCTGTGGCTTGAGTAATTGTCCTTGTCCAGCTGCGATCTTACGTTGTCTTTCCGGTTGTTCCGGGTCAGTTTTCTTCTCATTGAGAGGCATGTCTTCCTCAGCTCCGCGATCTCGTTTGACCACCAGTACACGGGGCTCTTATTTTTGTGAGTGGACTTGATCGGCATCGCTCTATCGCAGATTTTCGCAATGGTTATTATGATATCTTATAATATTAATATCTTGGCGGATAAGTTTACCATGGAAAATTTTGAGATATTTAATATAGAACAAATGATGTCTTTGAAAAAGATCCAATAAAATCATTGCGTACTAATTATTTAAATTCAGAAGAATTTGATGCCTTAAAACACGTTATTAAAGCTTTTCCTAAAATCTCCTATGAACCAAATGATAAATTGTTATCATTCACACATCCAATATCGACATAAAATACCAACAACGGTCTGGTAGGCGGGTCTGTTTCACATTCTTGATTGCCTCCTTCAGCTTTTGGATGTTTAACTTCCTGAAGTTCCATCGATGCTTGTCCGGTTGTCTGCGTTGGATCTTGGTGTCGCATGAAGTTTCGAAATAGATGTATTTGTGATCGCTTGCCGTTTCTTGCTCTAGTACCCTCCAGTTTATGATATTTGTGCCTATGCGGCCCTTCGTGATTGTCAGGTCTACTATGAAGCTGGCGCCTGGCTTTGCAAAAGTAGCTGCATCACCTCTGTTTTGGATTGCAAGATTATTGGATGCCATCCACTCTAACATTATATTGCCTCTCCTGTTTGTAGTGTGCCCAGTCAGTTGCCCAGGAGTTAAAATCACCGGTTATTATTAGTGTTGTAACAAGCGAACTTTACCGAGCGAACGTTCGCACTATTACCGTAATTTACGGTAATGTGCGCTCCTCTCTAAGCGAAAGTTCGCTGAAAATTTGATTTGACTATTAATGGACATGGACCCTGATTTCTGAATACCTATTTTCGAGCCTATTTTCATTATTATTTTTTTATTTTATAACTATGTACTTGTGTTATTACCATTACCTACAGAAAGTTCGTTTTTTAAGTTCCTTTTTTTAGAGTTCCTATTTTTATTTTTAAATTTATTTTTTCATATTATTTTTTGTTTTGACTCAACACCTTATGTAGTTATGTTATGTAGGTATTTGCATTTAAAGATTTTTGAGTTTTATTTTTTGGTGCTACCACTGCTACCTATATCTACGTTGTTTTTTATTACATCACCTTACAGGAAACACGACTTGTATTAGTTTTATAAATATTATCATTTTCTTTATAATAAATAAATAATACATAGACAAGGGTTATATCTACATTTATGGAAAATTCACCTACCCCTACCAGAGAAAAGAAAAATAGGGAAATTTAGTGTAACTTTATTATTAATAGATATTTTTACAAGCCCTACATTAGAAAGCCGAATTTATAGGTTCTTTTGCAACATTCTCCAAAGTTCTCATAAATTCTCGAAAATTCTCAAACATTCCCGAAAGTTCGGTAACGTTCGAAAATTACCGAGAATTTTACAACACTAGTTATTATGAAGTCTTTATTTTTCTTATCCAGGAGCTCGCCTAGGGATCCTAGAGCATGGTTTAATTCCTCTATACTTTGACTAGGCGGGAGGTAGCAGCTTGTGATAATGAAATCCCGGAGCTCTATCCACACAAATTCGTCCCTCGCCCCTGTCCCAAGGCAAGGGATGTCCCTGTTCCTTAGCCCCAGTCCTGCGTCCGACTTCAGATCGTAGTGCCACAGTACGTATTGTGTAGACCTTGGGTTCAGCTCTGATACTGCTAACACGTCTATTTCTAGCTGGCTGGCTGTAACTGTGAGGAGGCCGTGAGCCTCGTAGCATCTGTTCAGGTTCACCTGGAGGAATTTAGTTATCGTTAGTTCCGTGATTTTCTGCCCTTTGTCTTTGTCTCTGTTTGTCTACTGTTCCTGTCTTTCGAGTCTCCTTAGCCCGCCTAGGGACTCTCTGAACTTCGCGCATCTGCCGTTGCCTGCTCTATGGTCCGTTTTATGGCAGACTGGGCAACTTTCTGAGTTCTTGCAGTCCCTTGCAGAGTGGCCCTCTTCTCCACATGTAAAGCATAGTCTGCTCCTATCCGGGCCAGTGCATTATTTTGTGGTGTGACTGTATTCCCAGCACTTTTGACATTTCTCAACGTGTAATCTTCTTTCCAGTCTGCATCTTACGAGTCCTATGCGGATCTCGGAGTGGTCTGTTATTATCTTCTCTGCCTCTTGTTTGGGTAGGGTCATCGTTGCTGCCTGGGTGTTATTCCTGTCCGGTCTCAGTTCACTTAGGCTAAAGTCCGTATTCCCCATCTTAAGCTCGTGGCATATCGCTGCCGTCAGCTCATCTTTTGTTGTCAGTGCGTCCATCCTTCTGACGTGGATTGCCTCGCTGTGTGCGTTTACCATTGAGCCTCTGACCTTCACTTCTGCATCGCTGTATACCTCTCTTATTTTATGCCCTAATGTCCTTATCGCTGCGTCATCCTCACCCGTCGTGATAATTAACTTTCCATCTTTAGTCTGGCAGATAGATTTGATAATTTTACTTTCTGCCGAGTGCTGCACTTTCCCCTTGACGCCTTCCAGTAGATCCTTGAAGCCAACTCCTTTTTGGTCAACGATTAAGGCGAAAGTCTCTCTTTCTTTCCTTGTGTTGCCCGCTGTTGTTTGCCTTTGCCCTTTGCGTCGTTTGCTGGGCCGCTGTCGTGTAGATTACTGTGTTTGTATCTGACTTATGGAAAATCATTTCAACCATTTTCCTAAATTTGTCAATGCTGATTCGCTTGATGTGGTGAAGTGCCACCCACTGGTCCCCGTTTGTTTCCTCTCGGAGTTTTTTAAGCGCTTCCCATAACTTGCCGTCCGTGTTGTCTTGATTAATTTTTATAATCTTTTGACCGCTCGCCTGATTGGATCCCCTTATCCTCGTTGTAAGTTCTTTTATACCAAAATCATCGGTGATATCCGCGAGCTCCGGGTATCTTTTTTTGTAGTGGAGCTGTATGCTCTCTTCCATACCTGCGTCCGTTGGCTCCACCAGTACCACCTTCACTACGTTGGTTTTTATTTCTCGGTGTTCTCGAATAGTTCCTTTTTCCAGTTGCATTCCTCCAGGTAAAGGAAGTCCTCGAAGGTCTGTTTCCCATCTAGGGTGTCTACCATGCGTTCGCGTATGTCCGTGGGGGCTGTCTAAGTAGCCACCTCACATTTCTGGGGACTCGTCTGCCTGCTGTCTTGCTTATGAGGGCTTGTTTGGATATCTGCCTCAAAGGTCATCTTCTCCACCTTTTCGTATTTGTTACTCTCTAACCAGTTTGTGATCAATTGACTATTTTTGGACTGTATTTGCCTTTGAAGCTTTTTTGCAATGTCCTTTATATTTCTCTTGGTGTTTTGCTCAATATTATAAGTTAGTTCTGTGCCTATTTTCGTGATCGCTTCTAGAGCTTCTTTGAGTACGAATACTTCTGGGTTTTCAATTTTTTTTTACATATCTCTCCTTCATTTATGGCGGTTTCGTTTCGTTTCCTTTTTTTTTCCTCCTGGCCAAGCGAGTTGCATCTTTGTGCAACATGCCTGCTATTTGCAAGATCTGTGTTGGGGTTTTCGATGGATAACCTCCTGTCTATCGTGACTGAAGACCTTCGGTCGCTCGCTTTTAGTTTCTGTGTGTCGAAAACACCCGCAAAGATATCTTTCATCGATCGGTCTACGTCTTCTCCTAATTCTGATCTCTCCGTTTGCGTAAATGGTTGATTTCCCCCCCCCCCCCCCCAGAATCCGTGGGGCAGCCCTCTTGCAAGGGGTGGGATTCCCCGGTATACTTTCCTTGTTTTGTCCTTCCATTGTTGCATTTGGTTTTGAGGGTTTGGGGGAAAGAAAAGGATGCCCCTAGCCCTCGGGTAACCTAATAGCGTCGGGGAGGGTGGTGTGGGTTAGGAGGGGTAGGGTTTGGGATTGGGGGTGTATGAAATGGGATCATTCCGGGAGAAGGGTGACAGCCCAGCTAGGATGCCTCGGGTTTGCCACGCCCGTATCCGCAGTGCGGATCCCTGAGGTTAAGCTGTCCTTAGCAGAGGCTGACCAGTCAAATGCACAGTCAGCCACTGTGCTGCTCCACCAACGGCAAGGTCTCACAGCTCCTTGGAAGGGATTGGTTGATGCCCCTCAACGAAAACAAATGCACTGTATTCTGTGACTGTATGTACTCCACATTGGCACCAACAATCCTTTATATGATTACGAACTTAACGGCCTAAGTTTGGTATCTACTGATGAACAGAAAGATCTTGGCGTTGTTAATTTGAAACCAGAAGCACATATCTCAAAATGCATCAAGAAAGCTAACTTTGTGGCCTACCTGACGGAAAAAGCATTCAAGGACCACTCAGTCACTAAAACCCTACAAAAATATAAGTCATTCATCAGACCTATGCTAGAGTATGCTGTCAGTTTGGAATCCCTACTATGCCAAGGACATTGACGCATTGGTAAGAATTCAAAGAGGAATCACTAAAATTCCACCAGAAATTCGAGACCTCACATACGAAGCCCGTTTGAAGCGGTTCAACCTAACAAGTTCACGTGACAGGAGGTCAAGAGGGGATTTAATTAAGACCTATAAAATCCTAAGTAATTACTACTCTGTCAACATGAATATAGTATATACTCTGACAACCACAACCTTCGAGGACACTTCACAATATTGGAGAAAGAGAGATGTTCTAAACTCTTCAGAAGAAATTTCTTGTAAAATAGAGTGGTCTATATGTGTGGAATTCGTTGAGCGAAGCTGGATTCAAGAATAAACTGGAAGGCGACCTCGATTTATTATCAATAGTAATATAACGAGTGCAATGGAAATTATCGATATTTCATGAATCAAAATTTTAAATTTTTTGTCAAAAAATGTCAAAACACCAGTTCTCATACAAGTTACTATGGAATGATCCGATAATTTGCACTAAATAATTCGCACTAGTGCAAATTATCGCGTAATTTCAATCTGATTGGTCCAAATTAACAATCAAAACATGTCAGTTTATTGTTGGAATGTCAGTTTTGACAGATGTATGAAATTATCCAACAAACTGCTTCATTAACCTGTATAATCCATTGAACACAACTTCCGAATCGAGAGTATACAGCAGCTGAGCAGCTCCATCGATTTAACCGCTTGGCGCTTGCTGTTGTTTAAATAATTATAATAACTTAACTTTCGCTTCTTATCTTTGAGATCGGGTAACCAACCCCGATGGAAAGGATTTGGGTCAAAGACTAACACAAGAGAAAGAAACAACGACATTGACTAGGCCAGCAACCTGAGAAACGTTAGAATTAGGTAATGCTTACAAAGCATGCCTCGGAAATAGGAAAAGAAAAACACTAATAGGAAAGACTGATCAGTCCCTAGTAAATTGAAGTGGAGCAGGTGGCGCTTCTTTGCGAAATGTTACTATACAAGGTCTGGCACTAACACAGTGGGGAGAAGAACAGGACAAATAAGAAAATGCGAAAATACCGCAACCAAGGGAGACCAAATATTTATAAGTTTGGAAACAATTGGTGACGGGAGTTGCCTCTTTAGAGCGGTCAGCCTGTACCTGGATGGCTCTCAAGATACCCAGCTTAGGGAAAAGGCCGTGAAATACATACACTGAAACTGGGACAAGGTTCAAGAATTCATATTGGTCAAACGATGAAAATCTTAGAAACAGGAGTCAATACTGTATGTACTTACATGAGTGAAGAAAGGTCTTATGGAACAAGACTAGGAATACTAGCTTTATCTTTACAAACTATATAGTATATACAGAATTTTACTAATACTCATCAGAAAACAGGCCTAGCAATGTAGAGTCCTGCTCAAGTAGTCAGGATCTTCAGAAGAAATTATAAAATGAGTACCTATTGTAGTAAAACGCCCCAAGTACTCTATGTAATTAGTTAGATGGTAAATGGCGAGCGGTATATTGATGGTGTTTATTTCCTTGGAGCTGCTACCTATAAAATTGTGGAAGGGTCTATTTGCAAGAGAGAGAAACAAACTATTGAGGTTTACTAAATTTTATTTTATTATACATAAAACCCAAAAATTTAAATCAACAAAATATCTTCCAATTCTGACAGCCTCATCTATTTTTCTAATTCAATTACTTCACATCCGTTCAAAATATCATTATTACGGACCACTGAAATATCCATACAAATAAAGAAACGCCCTATTCCTACTATTCCTAATAACTTATAAGTTTATTCATTTCAACACTTCCGATTCATTCCTATTAAACTACCCTTCACCTATTTATATAAATTCTTTAAAATTTCTAAGTCCCTCACTGACTGCTTATGAAGAACCCAAAATAATTACCTATTTGTTTATTGATATAGGTGTTACTAACTTATTCTTATAAAACCTTATAATAATTTCTACATGAAATTTAAAAACCCTAATTCAAAATTCATTTCATGAACAATAAGTTTCCTTTAACAACTTTCCAATATTTTAAGACAATTCTATTTCATGAACATCAAATTTCTTTTCAAAATTTCCTATTCCATTTAATAGTTTATTTAATCAGAACAAATTCTATTTTCGGATTCCTAGCCTAGCTAATAAACCCAACTGTTTAATTCATAATTCCTACTCAAAATTGTATATTGTTAAGTGCATTATAAATTCCCCTTTTAATTCTTTGTAAAATAAATTAAAATGTCATTATACTCGAAGGCAATTAAAGTTATGCAATAATGTTACGAATTTTTCAAGATTGCAAAAGAAAAACAGTTTGCACCCAAAATTATAAGAAATAAGCTGATCATAAACAATGATGAATATACCGTGGAAACGCTGAAGGAGATAGACAGGCAAACATTTCTGGAACCGATTGTGGATAAGGAGTCACTGTTTGTCAACAACAGTGCCCCTCCTACTCCAACAATCAGAAATAAAAGTTCTGAAGACAGCTGTGAAAGCGAAGAGGATTCGCAAGACCTAGTTACTGAGCAGGGAAAGTATAGAGAAGATAAAATTACATTGAAAAATAAGGAAAGAAAACCAGAAGTAAAAGAAACAAAACCTAAAGTAAGTCATACTAAAAATCAGAACTCCGCATTGCAAACACCGAAAGGAAGAACAACTAGATCAGGTTCAACCAGCAGCAACAACGGTAATTATCAGCAGCAACAAAAAAAACTTGTAAACCAAAAAAAAAAAAAAATTCCTATGTTTTTGTTGCTAACTTTAAAATTATTGTAATCTAGATATATTTTTTAAATTGTGTTAGTGTATTATTGTCGTTTTACATTTTTTATATTATTTTATATTTTAATCATTTGTTACTGTGGTGTTATAACCTTCTCGTGCACGTTTGCTGCATTTTATTGAATTTTGGGTGACATCCGAACATTGAACATATTTTCATTTAATAATCAAGTTTTAAATAATTTAGGGAAAAATGGATATTCTCCATATAGGCGATACCATTGAAAAAGAATTAAAGGTTGAAACGGTAATATGCGAGAACATCGGCCAGTTTTATAACACAACAAAAAACATAAGAAATTTTACAGTCCTTACACAAAATATTACTAGCATAAATAAAAATTTTGACACCTTTTTAGTTCAACTACAAATGACAAATTATGCTTTTGATGTAATTGTATTCACTGAAACTTGGAAAGTAGATTTTGTGGAATACTATAAGATAAGAGACTATGATATCTTCTACAACAATGGTTCTTTTAATCAGAATGACGGGACAGTTGTCCTTGTCAAATCCAAATGGCAGGCGGACGTCGAGGAGCAGAAAATTGCGGAATTAAACGTCCTAAAATTTAACATTAAACTGACTGCAAGCTATACAATATCTCTAAACTGCCTATACCGTCCGCCTAGCCAGGATTTGGATACCTTTTTATTGAATCTTCCATAGTTTTTAAGATTTACACAAACTTCTAATCTAGGTATCTTCATAGGGGACATAAATATTGACTTACTGAAAACTGACAGAAAAGGAAAAATTGAAGACTACTTAAATATCATTCACAAATGCGGATTCATTTCGCTTATTAATCAATACACACGTGAACGTAATACACAAAAAAGTTGCTTAGACCACATTCTCATTGATAAATCACAAGACTTATGCAATTTTTGTACATACATAATAAAAACTCAAATAACCGATCACCATGCTGTAGCACTGTCTATTCCTTTGAATGCTCCGAGAAAATCAAATGAATCAAATTTATGTGGCCAGAATACGAACTATGATCAACTAAAAAACTTGCTTGCCGCTGAACCTTGGACAAAAGTAATGCTTGAATCGAACCCTGACATAAGTATGGGCATTTTTATAAAATCCCTCGAAACACATATAAGAAGTTCTAGTACAGTTACCAAAAAACAGAGGAAAACTATAAAAAGAACACCATGGATTACCAAAGCCCTTACAAAATCAATAAATACACGTGATGAACTTTTTAGGCGCGTTAAACAAGATCCAAATAATGAGGTATTAAAAATTCAATATAGAAACCATAGGAATAAGATTCATTCTCTAATTCAAAAAGCAAAAAGTAATTATTATCTATCCGCTTTTGTAGAAAATAAAGGAAATCCTCGGAAGTTTTGGGGGACGGTTAGGAATGCATTGAATATGCAGTCTTCAGGCCATGAAATCGGACGGATGAGGAACGATGCAGGACAAATACTGAACAGTGACTCGGAGAAAGCGGAACAATTCAACGACTTTTTCGCAAACGTGGGAGAAAACTTAGCCAATCAAATAATCGTTCCAAATCAAAATAGCTACTTAAAGCACCTTAGCTTTAAATGCAGAATAAAAAAATCTTTTTTCCTTTCTCCGGTCACAGAAGCAGAAGTACTCACAATACTTCTAACACTAAATAATAACAAGGCACCGGGCCTTGACGGAATAACACCATACCTTGTAAAGCAGATTGCTCCCTACATCACGAAGCCCTTACTGCATATTTTTAATTTATCTTTCGTAACAGGGGTGTGTCCCAGTCATTTGAAAGAAGCCAACATAAAACCTATATTTAAAAATGGAAACAAAGAACTTTGTACAAACTATCGTCCTATATCATTGTTATCTGTTTTTGCTAAAATCTTCGAGAGGCTTCTAAAACATAGGATTACAGAATGGCTGCAGAATCATAAACTTCTAAATAAAAAACAGTTCGGCTTTCGAGAAAACCTAAGTACAGAAGATGCTTTGGCGGCAATTACAAAAACTATATATTCTGAACTAGATAACTCCAGACCAATAGCAGGTATTTTCTTGGATCTTAAAAAAGCTTTTGACACTGTGGACCACTCATTGTTGCTGAAAAAACTAGAAATTTTAGGGTTCCGTGGTGTAGTGCTTCAACTTCTAAAAAGCTATCTTTGTAACAGAACTCAAAAGGTTACAATTGGAAAATCAACTAGTACAGGTAAATCTGTTAATTTTGGAGTCCCTCAAGGAACGGTCCTCGGCCCTGTACTCTTCCTTATCTACATAAATGACCTTCTTAGTCATGACCAGACCTTGGACTGTATATCCTTTGCTGATGACACAGTTATACTTATTGGAGGCGAGTCGTGGAACAACATCAAGAAAAAGTCTGAGATGTCTTTGAAGGTGGTCAAAAACTGGCTAGATTTAAATCTTTTAACTATTAATTGGGACAAAACAAAATTTTTACCATTTTTTATTGACGAGCGTACAGAACCCAACTTTCAAAAAATAAACCTTCACGCTTGCTCGGATCAAAACGCTTGTCAATGTTCTACATCCATCGAAGTTGTCGAAACAATTAAATATTTGGGAATTATACTAGATAACCAACTCCAATTTAAAATACATGCTGAAAAACAAGCAAAAAAATTAAGAAAAATAGTGTTTGTTATTAGAAAACTGCGAAGTTTTCTAAGTAAATACAACCTAAAGACTGTTTATCACGCAATTTTCGAATCGACCATGCAGTATGGCGTAATAGCTTGGGGAAGCAGTTACAAAACATCACTAAACTGCTTGGAAGTAACGCAAAGAAGCTGCATTAAAACTATCCTAAAAAAAAGCCTCCTATACCCAACAGAATTACTTTTTGAAGAATTTATCGTTTTTCGTCTGAGGCAAATGTATGCATATAAAGCCTTACTGTATATTAACAAGAATCGCGACATTATTAGACCTCTAAATATGAACTTCTATAACACCAGACAACTTTCCCAAGAAACTGTCGAAATCCCCAGGAAAAGTAAACGCATCTCACAGAAGTGTATTACGTTCATGGCTCCAAAAATATTCAACCTTATACCTTTAAATATAAAAAATCTGATAGACCACAAATTCAGGTTTAAGAAGAAATGCAAATTTTTTCTATTATCGTTGAATTATGCAACATTAAGCGACGCTTTTCCTTAAAAATCTCAACTGAAATAAACCAATGTTCTCCCATTTTTAATTACTTTATTTATTTTTTATTTTTATTATTTTTTTTCATTGTGTGGTAATCTCCACACTTTCTGAGTGGCATATTTGTAGAATACTTAGTTAAGCACAATAATATAGTAGGTACTCAAAAATTATATAGGTTTAGATTTAGAACTAGATTTAACCCATGTCTAAATAAATGTTTTAAATTATGAATATATGGTAAATGTGCTGCGCGCTGGTAGGTAAACTGCCTTAGTAGCACTCACCTATTTATTCGGATTCCTGTAATTTATAACAATGTTGAAATTATAATTCTTGAGATTTGATTAAGGTTAGATTAAGGTTAGGAAACAAAATTGTACACTTTGAAGGAATTTGAATAAATTTACATTACATTACATTACATTACATTACATTACATGTTCCATAGTCAAAACACTCGAGTTATTAATATTTATGCAATCAAGTTAAAAGTCATTGTTAATTCATATCTTATCTTTCAGAATCATTGATAAAAGTCAGAAAATTATTAACCACTAAAGTACTTACATTTAACTTTTCACACGTAAAATTACTTGATTAATTACTCAAAATTTTCTAGAGCCTGCACATAAGTTGAACGAATTTCAAATGTTATTTCTTTCACAATTTTCCGTACTTTTTCTAAGTTAAATCGAACGCGTTTTCTCCGAGGCCTTAATAGGAACTTTTCGCGAATTTCAACCCTTCTGACTCATTAGGTACTGTAGACTTTAACTCAAACTGGACTGGACTGCTAACAACTGGCAACTCAACTGACAACTCCTTCCACTTCTAAAACCGCGGTATTTATATTTGATCGATCCCCCAAATTTCTCTGTCCATGACAATTAAGATGATGCAATTTCCTTGAAATTTTTATCATTTTTTAGTTTAAAAATCGAATAATTATGTCCTAAATCATTCGATTTAATTATTATGGCCTCGTTAAAAAGTTCATTGATCGGATTTTAGGATGACATCACGCTGTAGGAAATAATATAATTTCGAATGTATTTGGGGTCACATTAATTTGTTCCATTTTTAATTTATCGATACTGATTTGGAAATACCGGAAATTCAGTTTTTGATTATTTGATATTATTTAATTTTTACAGTAAAGACATTGTGATTTACGGGTCTATTTTGCGGATCATTACACTATCTACCTTTTATTGCTAGGAGATCTGGGGAATGAGAATTTTGAACTTTTGAATCCTGGTAGAGGCCCCTACTATTAGCCATCCGATACTTGTAACCTTAAGAACGCAGTCTCAGCAAAAATATCCCCAGAAACAACCAGCGAACCAACGGATAGTTCCCAAACCCAGAAGACACAGTCTGAAAATGGCCATCTAATCGAAACATAACACTAATAAAAGACAAAAATGGACGACTGAACAATATCTGGAAGACTAACTAGACGAACAAATAAACCTAATCAGAAGTTTGGGTATAGAAGAAACATATAAATAGGTACCTTGGGATGGAAGAATCTAATGGTTTACATATGGATCATGTTGAACTTCAACTTCGCAATGAATGTATTCGACGAATACGAAGTATTTTTACAACAGAATTATCTGCGGAAAATAAATTTAAAGCGATAAATACTCTAGCTGTGCCTGTCTTAAGATATAGCTTTGGAATTATTAATTGGCTGAAGAGTGAAATCAAACAACTAGATAGAACAACCAGGAAGAATTTAACGATGGGAGGCATACATCGTCCTAAAGCAGACGTTGCTAGAATATATATTGAAAGGAAAATTGGAGGTCGCGGCCTTATAGAACTAGAGGCAGACACAATATTACGACGACCAACAACAGAAATATTCTATAACAAAGAAAAATATTTACCAGCTGGACAAGATACCGAAGATAACAAAGAAGTTAAGCTTATAATAGAAAATAAACGCATTGATGAACTTCGAAACAAACCTCTACATGGACAAGCAACTAGAAAGACCGGTTAGTAATAGTAGTTAATAAAAATGCAAGTATAGCTTGGTTTGAAGAGTGCAAATTTGAAAGCGGAAACAGAAAGTCTCAAAATTGCCGCTCAAGAACAGGCATTGAATACGATATATCTGCAGAAAAATATCTTTAAGCAGAAAGTTGACAGCAAATGCAGAATGTGTGGAAAGGCTGAGGAACATGTGAGCCACATCATAGCGGGATACTCGACATTAGCACTGTCAGAATATATACACATAGGCACAATAAAGTTGCGGATTATATTCACTGGGTTATATGTAACTACATATTACAAATGTAATGTTACAGAGAATTATTACCAACACACCCCTTAAAAAGTTGTTGACATTAAAATATAATGATCTTGACAACACAATATAATATGATGTTCCTATCAATACTGACCGAAGCATTAATGCAAACCGACCTGATATTGTAGTTCATGATAAGAAATCTAGATCATGCCTATTAATAGATGTTGCAGTACCTAACGACATGAATATTGCAGTCAAAGAAGTTGAAAAACTAAGTAAATACAAAGATCTGGAAATTGAAATATCTAGAATATGGAATAACAAAACAAGGGTGGTTCCTGTAGTAGGTACCGTCACAAAAGAACTGGAGCAGAGAATAAGTGTAATACCAGGTCATCCATCATCTATGATGATACAAATTATTAATCTCTCAGGCACTGCACACATCCTTTGAAAAGTGTTAGGACTGATAGGTTACTTTGAACTTTTGTTGAGCTCTGAACCTATCAAGAGATGCCGATTTTCATCGAGAAATTAAGAATTATAATAATGATAATAATAATAATAATAAATTGGAGCTAAGAGTCACAAAGAGTCTTTGTTAGGCGAATTTTTGTTACAAAATTGACTCACAAAGCTCAGAATTTTCTTAGTGCTTGGTTAACTCTTTCTCTCATGAATATTTCTAAAACAAACATAAATTGAGTTTCACGCATTTTATGAGTGAAACCTCAGGTCTCTACTTTTATGATGAGTTGTCACTACTGTCAGCAAGCTTTTATCGGCATTGATATTAAAAAATGTTTGTTTTTTTTTCAGTCCAATGAAGACAGTGATTCGCATGAAAAACCGCCAACACCGATGAGTCCCAATTTAAGTAAATTGTCACCGTGGCTCGTCTCCCAAGAAGTAATTTCTTCGCCGGTAGCTAAAGTGAACACTACAGAAACGGCTATTATACGAAAGTCCGTTATTACTACTCAGCTCTAGTTTAAATACTTCTTTACATGACTAAAACAGGTATATATATTTTTTCTATTGAGATTACTTTTTAAAAAATGTACCTGTTGGCCTTTGTACAATAATTTTAGAAAACATTTCCAATGTTTAACTTTTTGACAATATTCTACTAAAAAATATACGTATATTGATAAGACTATAAAACCTATACATTCTATAATTATAATGTGATATCGAATCTCCAATATTTAAGTATTCTTTTACTATTGAATTTTAATGAATTTTTATTTCTCGATTTTTTTTATTCTTGTTTTGTGTACTTAATGTTTTATGCAGAAGTTTTTTTTTTTTTGCTTAAAAAATACTTATTTAAGTTTAAGGTTTATAAAGCTTCAGCTTCAATATGCAGTAGCTACAGATTGTGCATGTATTTTTTTTGTCGGTTTTATTGCTAATCAGATTTTTCAAGATTATGTTCACAAATAATGGACCTTATTGGTTCTGATTAAAGTTGAAATATTTTGATGAAAAAAATCATGCTCAAGTAGTTTACAGGGTGTTTCAAGGTTCTTCAGTTATAATGTGCCTTACAATAATTGTTAAGTGCCATCAATTGCAGAGAGAAGTTATTATTATATACGATCATTCCGCAGCTTTTTTTTTTTTAATTAGACATTTTACATAATAATGTATCCGTCCATGACGATGAAATATACACTCTACATATTTTTAAATAAAGATATTTATCTATGTTTCAATTTTGTGTTTTATTTAATTATATTTGTATGAGCAGAATGATGTCAAAAAAAAAGGAACTGGTAGGGTCCACCAAACTTAAGAATGGTACAGGCTTGATCTGAGCAGAGTTCTGACATCGAAGCTAGCGGGCAAACTATTATTTCGATAATTTTCATTTGATTTGGAAATAGATCTGCGGTGCGATTTTCGAAACCATTCGAGTACTTTTCGTACACGAAATTTGACTGCTCCTGCTGCTCCCCATTTAATTTACATTGCTGTCAGTCAAATTTCGTGTACGAAATGTACTCGAATGGTTTTGAAAATCGCACCCCTGATTCAGGTACAGATCGTTTCACCAGAGTTCATACTTTTGACATCGAACATACCATAACTTGAAAAAAAAAGGGGTTGTCGTAGAATAATTCATATGGTTTAATAACCGACAACCGTTTTTGACGTTATTGATTTGTTACAGTCAATTTCTATTTTAATTAAAAAAGGATGGCAAAAAGTATGAACTCTCGTAAAACAAAGTTTACGCTACTCAATGACCCAACTACTCGCCGTTGGTATGGTAACCGTAATGAACATACCAATGAGCAACTTGCGGCGAAACACGTGCCTGTACCATTCTTAAGTTTGATGGACCTACCGACAATGTTAGAGAATATAATAATATTTATCTTTTTATTGGAGTATCAAAGCAAATGAGAACAGCTAGAGAGGTATCCATACTACGGAAGCGTAGAGAGGCCACCGCTTGTAAAAAAAAAATTATTCCGACTTGTAAATCGGAATTCTACGGAAGCGCAGAGAGGCCACCTATCCAAAAAAAAATTATTCCGACTTGTAACTCGGAATTCCGACTTGTAACTCGGAATTATTTCTACTTACAAACTCGGAATCATTCCGACTTGTAACTCGGAATTCCGACTTGTAACTCGGAATAGGGAACTTGACAAAAAATTTAAACATGAAAATATTACTATAAATCATAAGAATACATTAATTAAAACCTATATCAACGAAAAAAACAATTTTTTTTTGTCGCAAACGGCCACAATAGGGAATTAAAAATGCGGAAAAAACGCTCTGGTACTGGTCGTGACGTCATCTAGTATGATCTGTCAGTGTCTGTCAGCAACCGTCCATCATACCAGGGCTGTGTTCAGGAATGGCTACAGCCAAGCCAAAATTGGCATTTTGCGTTCGAGTTCGGCTACAACCTACGCGGTTCGGCATTACAGGTGGAGGGGGAAAAGGCAGGTTTTGGTATTAGCATTGCCTTCCTTGAACGCACCCCGTGAGTTCGTCTCGAAACACTGAGCGCTCGGAGCATTTTCCGTCTTTTTTTCTCATGATGAGAAGAACAGGGATAAAAGAACAAAACAGCAACTCCGAGCCTCCGAGCGTTTACTCGAACTCTACATAATAAATAACCGATGAATACCCGTTAGCTGTGTTTATTTACGGTTTTCTCTGATTTTTTAAAATTTTATCATTATTAGAATTGGTTTACTTAGATTAAATTCAATTATTACCTCAGCATTATATAAATAAATCGATATACCTATTAATTATGACCGAAGAAGGAAATTCCAAAGGCCAATCCGCCAATCTGTAATTTGTGATATGTTTATAGTAGCAAAAGTAAGTATGTGCTAATCTTTTTTTCCATTATAACTTAAAAATTTACAACTCGCCGCAACCCAAAACAACAACAAAACAAATAACGGTGGAAAATATGGAAATCAACCAATTAAATACAGTGAAATATGACGTTTGACAACAAGGTGAAGCCGGCGCCTAGAGTTGACGATAGTGATAAAAAAATAATATCGATAGTTTCAATGAATATCGAAACTATCGATAAATTATCGATAGTTTGAAACAAAAACAAAAAATTATTGATATTGTTTTATTTTTTTATTATGCAAAGAAACATTATTGTATTAAACCTTGATATCATTACAAACTACCTAAAACCAAAAACAAACAAGAACTCAAATTATTAATTTTCAAATAAATAACCTATAGCTCTGTTCCAACCGACATGAGAACCATTCTAGAACGGTTATTTTCAGTCGATAAATTCATTTGTCAAGTAGGTTAAAGGTTCAACTTATTGAAAAATAGGTAGACAACTGGAAATTACTGGTTCTGGAACCTGGAACCATTCGCATGTTGGTTGAAACAGAGCTACTGTTTTCAGACTAAACTAATAAGTCGCTGCTCGAGAGTCTGTTACCTGTCTCTGTCTAATGTCTATCGTGGATTACACCGGTGCAGTGGTGCAGTCAATCCTGTGCACCCCAAACCCCGACCTAACCTATTTTACATTCAAAATTGGAGCAATGAACTCTATAAATACTTTCTATTTATTTTAAGTTAGCTCTAGTCACAGCCCCCTACACTTACTGGGGATCATTTTCTGACCTTTAGACGTCTTTTTCTGTTGAACCATGTTTCAAAACGTTTCAAAACTAGTTCGATTGTTACGTCATCATACCGGACCGGTGTTGATCAAAAATGCCCTGTTTTAAAACGGAGCCCGTGACATGTCTAAAATTATTGTTTAAAGGGTACTTTGAGGTCAGCTGTTTAACATCTATTTTGAAACAGGCTGAAAGAGTGGTTCGAAACTGGTTGAACCGTTTCCGTATATGACGTCACCGTTGCAACACAAAAATGTAGCGTTTTGAAACGTTTCAAAACATTTCGAAACATTCCGTCAGAATAAGACGTCTTTTGTTTTTTGAAAAAAAGAAAAGGTATTTTTGACATTGACAGCTGTCAAAAAAATTTCAAACTCCCTTGGGCGTACATACAGTGGCTAAATAAACCTTTACATACAATGGCGACAATAGAGGTTTCGCCGCCATCTTGTTCCCAACCTCTTGTTATTTTTAAATATTAATATATAGGATTTAAATGGACATCTATCATAAAAAATTGAAATCGACGTATTTGATGACCATTATTAGGTCCATCAAATACGTTGTTTTCCATGATTTATGATGAATGTTCAATGTTCACCTAAATCCCATATATTCATATTTAAAAGTAATAAGGGGTTGGGAACAAGATGGCGATGTTTTCAATATAAATACAGGGTGGCCAATTGAAAACGAAACAGAGGTGATTTCGGGCTCCCCAAGACATTTAAGAAAAAACCCTCGTACCCGTCAATTTTTGATTTAAGGGGGAACCATTTTTTTGGTGTTTTCAGCCCCTGGGGGGCAAAGCCCTAGCGGGGGTGACAAGGGCCCCCAAAATTTTAAATGGAATGAGGGGTCGAGTGATACCTTATTTTGAAGCTATTTTTATGTAGATTATAAACCCCGAGTCTCACATCGCTACTATCTACCTAGCCATTACAGGGGCTAATTAAAGTTACAAAAACATGTTGGAATATTTTTATTTAAAAAAATGCTTTAAAAACAAAATCAATCAAGTAAATGCTGAAAATGACCTCAGAAGAAAAAATCTAACGGGCTTAAATCTTGAGAACGCGGGGGCCACTCAATATTGACGAGCCACTGCAGCATAATGGGATGACGCACAATCTTGTTGGAATATTAGTGTATGCATCTGTTATCATTCTCTAGTATCTCCACCAATTCTGGATGAATCGCAACTCCTAACCACTCTAGGTACATTTCTCCTGTTAAATTTATAGGTAAAAAAGGGGCCTACTTACGGTTATCAAAAATGCTAGCCCAAACACTCAAATAATCTACATCTCCATAATGCCCTAGGACGTTATTTCGTACGTATTATACCTGAAAATATTGTATGTATACCTGGAAATATTGTATTAAATAAATATTGTATTGAATATAAAAAAATTGTATTAAATAATGGAGTATAATTAAATGGTATTTTGGTTGATGTGCTACTAACCCCCTTTTCCTTTTTTTTCCTCCTCCCTCACCATTGAAAAACTCATAACCCAATTATTTTTTTTCAATAAATGGAGCAGCAGTTTGTATATTTCTCTGATGAATGCTCTTTTTTTCTTGAACGGTACGGTGAATCGTCTCAACTGCCGCTATTGGGCTAATTCAAATCCCAGAAAACATATTTCGTGAGGTACATACGCAACATCCCGAGAAATTGAGTGTTTAGGCTAGCATTTTTGGTAACCGTATAATAGACCCCTTCATTACCTATAAATTTAACAGGAGCAATGTACCTAGAGTGATAAGAAGATGCGATTCATCCAGAATTGGTGAAGATACTAGAGAATGATAACGGATACATGGAAAACCGTCTAATTTTCCAACAAAATGGTGCGCCACCCTACTATGCTGCAGTGATTCGTCAATATTTGGACCAAAGGATTCCAGGACAATGGATTCGAAGGAGAGGCCCCCGCGTTCTCCAGATTTAAGCCCGTTAGATTTTTTCTTCTGAGGTAATTTTCAGCATTTACTTGATTGTTTTTAAAGCATTTTTTTAAATAAAAATATTCTAACATGTTTTTGTAACTTTAATTAGCCCCTGTAATGGCTAGGTAGATAGTAGTAGCGATGTAAGACTCGGGGGTTATAATCTACATAAAAATAGCTTCAAAATAAGGTATCACTCGACCCCTCATTCCATTTAAAATTTTGGGGGCCCTTGCCACCCCCGCTAGGGCTTTGCCCCCTAGGGGATGAAACCACCAGAAAAATGGTTCCCCCTTAAATCAAAAATCGACGGGTACGAGGGTTTTTTCTTAAATGTCTTGGGGAGCCCAAAATCACCTCTGTTTCGTTTTCAATTGGCCACCCTGTATATGGGATTTTAGAACCAATCAAAAATGAGACAGCAATTGTCGCCACTGTGGGTTATAGAGTCATTGTAGGCGTACATATTTCACCTCGGTGAACACGTAGGAAATATTGAAAAAATTCCATGGCCAACTTTGACAGCTGTCAATGTCAAAAATTTGACAAGCAGGTACAATATCGGAAAAAGAGATTCGTCTCGCACATTATTTTTCCGAAACATATCGAGTCGCTTAAAAAAAAAT